GGCGGCGGCGGCGGCGGCGCCTGCTGCGGCTTGCGGCGGGGCCGGCGGCGTGGGGGACGCGGATGTGACCGCGGTTGGCCGGGCCTGCGGGCAGGGCCGGGGAGGGGGTGAGCAGCGCCGCGCCCCTTCCCCTCCCCCGTCATCCATCCCAAGGCGCGGGAGGAAGAAGAGGGGCTATGCAGCCGCCTCAGCCGCCCCCCTACGAGTTCCTCAGCGAGGAGAACGGGCAGAAATGGCGGGGGCTCCTCGTGCCGGCCCTGCGCAAGGTCAGTCCCTCCTGTCCCAGCGGCGTCCTGTCATGTGGGCGCGCTCCCTCGCACGCGATCCTTCCAGCGGGGGAGCGGCAGAGCACTCCCCCCGTTGCCAGGCGTCTCCCAAGCAGCGGGATCAGTCCCTCCCCAACCCCCCCCCCGTGCTTCACAGTTTACCTCACGCAGGGGGTCCCTTCTGAGCCTTAGGGAGCGGCCACGCCCCTTTCCCCTCCTCTCAATAAAGCTGCCCTGCCTAGGCCAAGTGCTCCCCATTCTCCCCCAGGCGCGAGAAGACCCTGCTGAGGAGCCACCGATTTCCCATAACGTTGCAGGTGTGGTGTAGAGCTTGAAGTCTGCCCTTCATCATGCAAATGAACTGGGGGACTTGGTCAGTCGGTGCCTCAGCTCAACCTACCTTGCAAGATTGTTGTGAGAATATTTGTTGTGAACTCTTGGAGTTCAATCTGGGTAATACACAAGGGCTCATTTGCAGGCCTGGAAGGTAGAAGCCGTGGCAGTGTGGAAGTTCCCTATTTTTTCCCCAGACAGCCTTGTTTATTTTTGATAATTAAGCTTGTATGCTGCCTTACTTCCAAGGACTTTGGGCTTGTACCAATAGAAATGAATATGTGTAGCTCAGGGTTGAACTGTGGAGTCCTTGGGGTTCTCTGAGCTTGGTGGTTTTCTTGCAAACGTTTCGTTACCCGGCTAGGTAACATCTTCAGCGTTGAAGATGTTTCTTAGCTGGGTAATGAAATGTTTGCAAGAAAACCACCAAGCTCAGAGTACCCCAAGGACTCCACTTTGGGCTTGTGTTGGCATGGACCCTCTGGGCTTTCATTTCTTAATCTTTCCTGTCTTATTTATTTATTTACTGTATTATATTGTTTTATATGGCTGCCCATCTCATAACGGTAACTTGGGAATGACTGCATTCAGTTGCTTGAAGTGGAGCTTCCAACTTCTGTGCATGATTGCTGTAGGGAAAAATTGGAGGAGTGACTATTCTGTACATTGACTTAAAACTCCTGGAGGAGATGTTCTAACAAAGAGCAAATAATATAATACATGTAGTCTTTGTTTACCGACTGCCTCGCGCAGTGACCGAAGATACAATGTTGCTGAAAAAATAACTTTGGAACCAGTCCTCACATTTATTACTGTCACAGCATCCCGCGGTCATATGATTGCTATTCGCCTGCTTTGCAACCAGCTTGTGACAAGCAGAGTTAATAGAGAAGTTGGAAGTAAAATTGTAAGTCGCAGTCATGTGATTTTTCGCTTAGGGACCACAGTACTTAGCAACTGAGTTGCCAGTCCTAATTATGGTTGCTAAGTGAGGACCTTTAATGGTTTGGACTGTGATTCCCATGCTGGCTGGGTGTGATTATATTTCTTGTTCAACATTAAAAGGGCTGAAGAAGGCTGACATAAGTTTAGGTACCTGGCTCCCTTTGACCATCTTCACAGCCAGATATTTTTTGCTTTCTTCTGTCATAAATAATCTTGCATTAGGATACAGTTTCTCTTCAATGATTTCACCTTTGCATGTGTGTGTGCCTTCGAGTTAGTGTTGACTCCTGGCAACTGCCTGGACAAGTCCCTTGCCATTTTCTTGGCAAGATTTCAGAAGTGGCTTGGCATTGCCTTTGTCCTCCTAGTGCTAAGAGAGAGTGACTGGCCCAAGGGCACCCAGCTGGCTTTGTGCCTAAGGCAAGACTAAAACTCACGGTCTCCTGGTTTCTAGCTTGGTGCCTGAACTACTACACCAAACTGACTCTCTATTTGACCTTAGTACTGTAACTTACTTTTTCCCATCCAGTAAAACTCTCCATAAACAGTTGCATTTCTTCAGTTCTACTTAGGGGCTTACCATCCTCCTTCAAGTTTCACTGTGTTTAGTATGATATATCTTTCCATACTCAAGATGGTCCATTTGCCAAACATGTAGTTTTTTATAGGATAACTGTCTTGTGCATCCTTATGTGCAATACTCTTTATTCTGAAAATATCTCATGGTATAGATAATACTGGCATGTTGTGGCTTCTGAAAAATAGGAATAAACAATGGAATTTCAAAAAAAGGTGGCAAATAAATGTTTACTTCGTACATCTGCATACACCTCTGTAATACTGCCTTAGTCGCATTACAAACACTACATGTGAATGCATGCACATACTCATACATTGTACACACCATCCCAAAAGTACAAGCTGTTTCCAGCATGCTATAATCAAAATGCACTGTGCTATATAGCAATTTCAGATGTCAACTGTTTCTACTACTTTCAATACTCATTTTTTGAAACAAACACAATTTCCTTGTGTTGTCTCTATTTCCCCTGCTTCTCCTTTTTGTGTATACTAATCTTGTTGCTGTAACTCAACATCTCTTCACTCAGAGCCTTTCAGATGTATTAAATACAGTAATCCCACTGAGCACTCTCTCCTAGCTGGAGTAACACAAGTTGCAGTCCAGTGCCTGGACACCTTATTGAGGAAAATTGCTGTAATTGTATGTTGTAGGTTCCTACCTTTTTATATGGAACTGTCAAAAGGCATCTTCAGTCACCATGTGATTCAGATATTCTTCTGTACAATTATATAGTTAGATCATTCTATATTATTTTTTAGTTTGCCCTTTACATGGACACACTTCCTGCCTTGTATTTGCCTCTTCTGTGTACAAATAAACATCCTGATCATCATGCTCCCCTAAATTCCTATGTAAGGAAGGCAGTTGAGTAGATCTGTATATGTATGGGAAACTGCAAATATACCATGCATACCCAAATACACTGTAAAGGTGTGAAAGGGGAGAAGACAGAAACTGCAGAATTTGAGCTGTTTGTACTTCACGATGTTGACTATTGTTAAGATGCTGGTCCAGACTACATAATGTGATTTGTTTATTTGTTTTTGACTGAACAAGAATGAGTCCTTCGGCTGTGTAGAATGAATGAGTCCTTCGGCCTAGTATAGAGAATGAATAAGTAATCTGAGTCATTGACTTACATCTCTGCACATACACCAGTTTTTTGTATCCTTCCATAATCTAGGGTATCTGTCACCAGATAGTGTCAAGTCACAGAATTTGTCTTCTAAGAAACTGAGGATTGCCTTGATTGTCTTGCATGGTTCAGTATCGTTTGATTTTTATAACAGTAGTATTACATTTCAGGAAAACCTCAAGAGTTTTGAGATTGAACTGAGGTGGAGGCTTTCCTGTATTAAGAAGCCATGATGTAATTCTAATTGTACCACTGGCGATATGCATTTCTTTTTTAGATAGTTTTCAAAACTCAGAAAAAGACAAGCAGGAGAACTATATAAGCATTTTTCTCTGACCTAGTTCATGTGCTGAACTAAAACATAATGAGATTCATTTGATTTATTATGTTGCATGACCCCAGGAGTCTGTAACTCATAATTTATGGCTTAGTATACTTTGTGAACTCAGTCATTTGTAGATTACTTAGTAAACCATGTTAAGTGGCTTAACATTGTATGTGAACCCAATCATATGTTTTGGCCTAATTTAGATCGTCCACAAAGTTATTGTGATTTGTAAACCATCATTTATAGTTTGGGTACGCTTTCCCCTTCCTGCTTATTATTTTCTGGCAAGTGAGCATATTTGGAATGTTGAGAATATGTCATGGGCACTGTCACAAAATGGTTACATGATATTTTGGCTCTTTGCAAAATATTTATATAGTAGAAGGCAAACTGAGCACTTTGCTGCTATCAGTATATACCGTATATACATTTTTTCCCTAAGGATGTCTCCACAAAGCTCAGGGGCATTGTGGAAATACAAATTATGTTTGAGGCTGATGCTTTGCTTTGTAACATGCTTTCCATTCATTTTTTAATTAAAAGAATTTAAAAAATAAAATTGGCAAGCTTGGCAGATATCAAAGAACATGCTATCGCTCCAGGAGCCATGCTTTGGATTCAGGCTTAGGATGTGAGAGATGCCAAAGCAATTATTTCAGTGAGAAGATACTTACTTGCTATTCTGATTATTTTAAGTTTATTCCAATCTCTATTATACAAATTAATACCTATGCATAAAAAAAATACAGAAGGTGATTTCTTCTCCCTTCCATAAATTTTATGAGGATTATTTTTCACAGGAAAAACAATTTGAAATAACAGAGCGAAAAACTGCTTTTCCTGAATTGTCTTTTAGCTTTCTGCTGCTTTTGTTATAAGCTAAATCACATGTTTGTCCATTTTTTCCTCAGTTACAATATAGGTTTGTATGCAGGAAGACTATTGTTTTTTTACTGTAACTTTCAAAAATTAACCAGGGGGATTAGAAAGTAATTGAATTGCACACATATCACTAAGGCCAGATTAAAAAGGTAAAGGTGCCATTGAGTTAGTCTCAACTCCAAATGACAGAACATCCAGCAGTTTTCTTGGCAATAAAATGGAAATAACCTTCTCTTGGTACTTTTTTTTCAACTGTTGAGTGGAAACAACATCTCAGAAGCCAACAGTGGCAAGCCACTTTCCTAACTCAGCCAAGAAAAGAACATGGAGGCTGTCAACAGGAGCTGAAATTAACTCAAGGGCATCTTTTTTAATACTGTGTCTTTATTTTTAACCTTTCAAACACTTAAATAATTCATTAGAAACTACTCAGTACTTACTGGTTTTTATGTTTGTACTGTGTGTTCATATTTTATGGTGTAAACCATAAAATGGTTTAAAAAGTCTTTTGAGCCTGGTGATACGTAAGCACAATAAACAAACAAACAAATAATACAACCAAGAAAAATCTGTAAACATTCTACTCCTTGCAGGGCCCTTTCGTGTCCTTGAGGCCTCATAGCTCCATATAGCTTGATAAGAGTAGAGTGCAAATGGGTGGAGAAAGTCATCAAAGAAACCCCATGCAAATATGGGAGAATGGGAGAGGCACAGTACAGCACACAATGAAATAAGTTATCAGTAGAAAATTCAGGGGAAAGAAAGAAGTTAATTGATTAGTGCAGTGCATTTTATGTGGGGCTGTCCTTGAAGAAGGTTCGGAAATATATTTTAGTAAAAAAACATCGTGCCAAAGATACTGGTTAGTAGTGGGAGATGTTCATATTATGTCAGGATCATAACCTGTTAAGTCCTTCATGGCGTTGAGTCACAGGAATCCCTCTTTCTCTTATATTCCTACTGGAGCCTTGCAATTGTCATCAGAAGCCGTACTCTAAGTGCCCTCACATGCTGATATGGCTAATATAATGGCTTCAGGAATGGCTTTTTTAGTACTACTCTGTCAGTATGATATGCTAACCCCAGGGAGGGCTGCTTTGTGTTTCTATTTTCTGATTATGTGTCTAAATGAAAGGATCAGCTTTTAAGAGTTTGTGAGGAATGTTATAAATAACTGCTAAATTAGTTTTAATATAAGAAGTTTCAGAATAACTGTACTTCAGCAGAGGTGAGTGTGTATATATGCACAGACATTTGTTTCTTTAAAACATCTTAGTTGACAGACCTCTAAATTCCCTGCCTCTCCAGAAGTTTAGTCATCTAAAAGAGGGTGTTTTCTAGAATGAGGGAATTGCAAAGAAAGTTCTGGGTAAAAATATTTCTGCATGATTCACAGTTCTGAATTTAGCAGCATTTTTTCCATTCTCTTTCACATACCAAGGCTTTGAACAGTTACAGAAAGTGGTAATACTAGATTATTAGTTAATGAAGTAAAAGCTTACCTGTATCCTTCTACATAAATATCCGTTATTGGACATTTTATTGTGGGACAATCAGAAAAATGAGGCTTATAAAGTGAGAAGAGATACAGTATGATTGTCAGTATCTCTGTACCATCATTAATCTGTCTTCTGATTGAACATAACAAATACATCTTTCTGCAGGTTCAGCAGCAAGTCCATCCCAACCTTTCAGCCAAGGAAGATTCCCTCTTTTACATTGAGGAACTAATTCTTCAGCTGTTAAATAAGTTATGCATTGCACAGCCACGGACATTTCAAGATGTAGAGGTATGAAATGTAGTGCATGTAAGGGAAAAAAGCAGGTGTTTCCTCACAAAACAATGCTAGTATGAAAAGAAGAACTGAAAAATTCAACAGTGATGCAAATTGAATCATGGCAATGGAGAGAATATTACTTCTCTAAACTAATAACACAGATATGAGAATATATGTTTATGTTGTGAGGTTCCAGATCATGGAATGTGGAGAATCTTAAAACTGATAGGATAAGCAGGAGCTTTCTGGGACATGGATGTACTGATCAGTGTTATCTGGTATAAGCTGTTGTACATAATGAATATAAAAACAGCAAAATGCTATTCTTCGAGAGCTAGTTTACTGTGAAAATTGACAGACCTTTATTTAATAATAACGCTCTTCTGCATTGATGCATACAAGAGAAATTGTGTGGTTTCTGCAACACATAAACTTACGGAATGTTTCTGGCAGAGAATAGTTTTTCTTAATTCCTAATGCTGTGTTCAGTTCCATTGCATTATGCTGCTTCCCACTCAAGCAGAGGAATTAAAAGTATATTTGAAAAGGACTTTGAGTCAATGCAGTGCTGTATGGCTGCTGTTTGGAGGGGAAAAGAATACTCAGAGAAATAAATGGCATACTCTAGCCAATATTGAAAGAACGAAGTCTGCCTCTCTGTTTTGTTGAGAATCTGGCAATTTATTTATTTTTTTTGCACTTGGGCAGGAGCGTGTTCAAAAGACTTTTCCTCATCCAATTGACAAGTGGGCAATTGCAGATGCACAGTCTGCTATTGAGAAGCGAAAGCGAAGAAATCCTCTCTTGCTGCCTGTGGACAAAATACATCCTTTATTAAAGGTATACTGGAGCAAAAGTATTGGAGATTTAATATTACATTTTTAATCTGCTAAATTTAATAATTTCCTCTCCTGTCCTTCATTAAGACACTCTTCCCTGAAAAATGTGAAGTAATTGTATAATAGCAGAATATTCCTAGGCATGTGCAGAAAAATATGCCCTTTCTTGGACAAAAAGTGAGTGTTCTGTGGTTAGAAGAGGGGGGTTCTTTCTCTGATTTAGAGAAGGAAATATCATTTCTAGTTGTAGCATTTATAAATGGACTCCACTCTTGCTTGGTGACTTAACAAACTCAGTCGCCCATCAGTAGGAAAAACAAAGCAGGTAAAAAGAAATTCAGAATGGTGAGAAACGGCATCAGTTTCACTGTAGTAAGTAGAATCCTGTAGATGGAGGTTGGGGTTATACTTCCCTTTTTGGCAGGCTGGTGCATGTTCTGCAGGATCATTGGCTGCTAATGCTGCAAGTTAGGATGCTTATCCCCTGCAACCTTTATATCATAGAGTAGCATTTTGAGGGGGCCCAGGTGTCATCAAATGATCTTGTATGATTTTTGAATACCTCACCTCCTCAAAAAAGATGATCATTTTCACAGAATCTCTCTTGAAACTGCCAAAATTACAGAGGATTTGGTTAGTTTTGAGGAGGGAATCAGAGACATCTGTTTGAGGTCTATTGTGTTGTGTTGCCTTACACATAGAGTTAGTATACTTGCCATAGCCAGCTATCTGACTTTGCTCAGATGAAAGCATAATAAATGGGATTTTATACATGTTCTTTTGTGTTAACTTTCAGGAGGTTCTTGGTTATAAGATAGATTATCACATGTCTCTTTACATTGTGGCTGTCCTGGAATACATCTCTGCTGACATCTTAAAATTGGCTGGAAATTATGTTTTCAACATACGACATTTTGAGATTTCCCAGCAGGACATTAAAGTATCCATGTGTGCTGATAAGGTGAGGTTCTATGTAAATCCCAAATTTATACAAGCACTTCAGCTCCATTATATAGTTGTTGGCTTTTGCTCTTGCTTAATAACTTTCATCTTCATATTGGATTACAAAATATTTGATCATGTGTAAAATATGTCTTCTCTATTTAGGTGTTAATGGATATGTTTGATCAGGATGACATTGGTTTGGTTTCCTTATGTGAAGAAGAACCTTCTTCTTCTGGTGAACTTAATTACTATGATCTTGTCAGGACTGAAATTGCAGATGAAAGACAGTATCTGCGGGAGCTGAATTTGATCATAAAAGTATTTCGAGAAGCTTTTCTATCTAACAAAAAGCTGTTCATGCCCAATGTAAGTCAGTCTTTTGCCACGCTGACACTTTCTTGTGATAAAATGTGTGCTTTGAATTAAAACTAATAATGGTGAAAACTCCTCCCCCCCTTGAAATCTTATTTTAATAAGAAATAGACAGGTAAGCTGGAAATGTACTTCATTACATGCTAGTTTTCTAGTTTCTCTTCTAAAAAAGTGCTATTTTTAAAAAATGGAAACAAATTATTTCTCCAAGGAATCAAAGTGATTCATCTCATTTTGATGCAACAGTTAAAATAAATCCCAAACAATGCATAAAAATTGCAATTGAAGCTTTGCCATATACTGTTACAATTGCAAGTCTTTTAAAGATATTTTGAGACTTTGGAGCACAATACGTGGAGAAGTTCAACTCTGTGAATGCACTGTTCAAAAGGGCAGGACTTGTGTAAAATGTCACTTTTTCCATAAACTTTTTTTTAAAGAACAGTATATGAGGCAAGCATTTTATAACAGATCAGAAGTTTGTGTGGAAAAAAGAGGCTGAATAAGATAATTCGCCAGTCTAAAACAGTGTTTCGCAGCCTTGGCAACTTTAAGATGCCTGGACGTCAGCTTCCAGAATTTCCAGCATGCTGGCTGGGGAATTATGGGAGTTAGTCCAAACATCTTAATGTTGCTAAGGTTGAGAAACACTGGTCTAAAATGATACAAAAGTCTTCCTTAATCTCTTGGTTTAATTTAAACTATTGCACCAATTTTGAATCAAATAGCAGAACATTTAAAATAAAAGTGTAAAAAGATACAGACATAGTCAGAATGGATTTTCTTTTTCTCAGGATATTGACATGATATTCAGCAACATCACAGATATCCATGAATTGACAGTGAAGCTCTTGGGATTAATTGAGGACACAGTGGAAATGACTGATGAAAGTAGTCCTCATCCCCTGGTTGGCAGCTGTTTTGAAGATCTTGCAGAAGTGAGTTAGCAATGTTGTTCTGTTTATTATGCAGTGGGGCATGACTAATTCAGATTTCTTGCTGGGTTTTAGAATAAATTCCTTCTGCTATGGTGGATTGCTGTGTTTCCCTCTCTACCTACAAATATACAATTAGCCCATTAAAGTGAAGGCATATAATGCATTTATTTCTAGGTAAAACTTTTTAATATATAACTGGGGATACATGCTTGAAAAATGTACGTGGTATGTAAACCTAAAAAGCCTCTTTCTTTGGAAGCCTACTTATACATTATCAGCTCCTCCAGTGTTTGTCTGAATTTAAGAAGCCAAAGTTCAAGATATAATAGCTTAAATTGGAAAGGTGCCAATTCAGGTGTCATGGATTCTCAGCTAATTAGCAATTTAAAGAATGTCAAAAGTTACATTTTAAAAATTGGTAGGTTACTGTAATGTCCTCTTGTCATACATGATGACAAAAATATGGTTGCAGAAAATATATTTATGAAATGGCATGCTCTCTTCTTTTTCTGAAGTACTGGTTTGTTGCAGAAGAGAGCATGCAGTATGTAGTCATAGCTTCCTTCTTTTCTATAATTTATTAAAATATACTGAGTTTGCCTTTGTAGATTTATTTATTTATTTATTTATTTATTTATTTATTTATTTATTTATTAATCAAATTTATATGCCACCTCACTATCTAAGTGACTCTAGGTGGCTCACAAATAAGAAGCATAAAAACAGTTAAAAAACTACAAAACCAAGTAATTGTCTTTTTCTTAAAAGCATGTAATGTAGAGCAGTTCTTTGGAAAGCTTGTTAATATCCTATAAGACATATTTCCAGGTTTAATTAAGATCAATTAAACATAAAGATTATCTTTAAGAACACCAGATCTTGATAAATTTGGCTGTAACTCAGTTTTGGAGTCATATTAAACCATGGTTGGATTATTAGAAATGCCCTTGCATTGTCCTTCTTTCTTCCCTCTAACAGATTAATTTGTTTCTCCATTTCCTAGTTTTCAGTAGCTGGAATTTTCAGTGATTTAGTGGCTTGTTTCTAACTGCAATTTGATGAATTTTCCAACCATGATTTGCCAATTTAGACATAGCTGATGGAAAAGCAGGAACTAAATAGGAGAACTGTTGAACTGTACAACTGTACTTGCTATACGTCACTTGCATGGACATTTTGATTTCTAAACTACAGCATGTTGTTATGATGAACTGATGATATGTATGCTAGGCATTTGGAATCACCATTAGATTAATTCACAGATGAAAGAGTTCTAGTTATTTGTGTAATGTGTTTACATTTCTGTATTGTCCAGATATATTTGGATAAAGTTATCCTTCCCGTATGTTGATCTACCTGTATCGGATGATGTTTTGGTGCCTTATATATCTTTGTTTAGAAATTAGTGACATTATCCACCTTGAATGGCACTTCATTATCCAAGTCTGTATAGATGATATTCTATTAACCATATGAAAGTAGACTATTAAAACAAATTTTCCTGTATAATTGGTAGTTTCTCTAAATAACATATATGCTATTTCAGAATGCTTATTCTGTTTTACTAGGAACAAGCCTTTGACCCGTATGAAACCTTGTCGCAAGAAATCCTTTCACCACAATATCATGAACATTTTAATAATGTAATGGCTAAACCTGCTGTGGCTTTACACTTCCAGGTATAAGTGTACAGATTTATAAGTTGTAATAGAAAAATAAAACAGAAAAGATCTCTATCTCATATACCAGCAGCCCTTAGTCGTGATGGAATGGTTTAAATGGTAGAATCCAGATATTGTTGAATTCCAACCCTTAGCATTTCTCACCTGTATTGCTACTAATTGTAAATTTGCAATATTGGGGGGTCCAAACCGTAGATGGGCAGCAATGTTCTTTTTGGAGAGTAGTGGCTTTCTCCTTGCAACCCTGCCATGCACATCATTGTTGTTCAGTGTTCTCCTGATGAGGATCTCATGAACACTGACATTTACCAATGCAAGAGAGGTCTTTAGTTACTTAGACGTTACCCTGGAATTCTTTGAGACCTCCCAGAGTATTTACCTTGCTCTTGGTGTGATCTCGGTTGGTCAACCACTCCTGGGAAGGGTAACAATGGCATTGAATTGCTTGAATTGAGTCTGCCTGACAGTGGAATTTGGAAATAGTTTTGTAACCATTTCTAGCCTCAACTATTTTTCAGATGTCCTCAGAAATCTCCTTTGTTCAAGCCATGACACATTTCCACATACCTGTGTTGTGAAGATCAGATATGATAATGAATACCCAGAATTCTGTACTTTAAATAAGGCCGGACCACCCACGCTCACACCTGATTGTCATCCCATTGATTGAAATATCTGACTCTAATTTCCCCTTCAAATGAACTGATAATCCTACAGGTTCGCATACTTTTGCCACACATAAATATGTAGCTTTGGATCATTTTCCTCAATAAATGAACAAGTGTGATGTTTTTGACTCATTTTTTTAATTGGGTTTTCTTTATCTAATTTTAGGACTTGTGGGGAGAACATACCATGTTTTAGGTCATATTTATGCAGAAATATTGAAAATTCAAAAGGGTTCACAAACCTTTAAGCAATGTTTTAGGTCATATTTATGCAGAAATATTGAAAATTCAAAAGGGTTCACAAACCTTTAAGCAATGTTTTAGGTCATATTTATGCAGAAATATTGAAAATTCAAAAGGGTTCACAAACCTTTAAGCACTGCTGTAATTTGCATAGACCTGATACAAAAGGTCTGCCATACAGCTTTCCAACTCTTTTATTTTCTGGCTTTCAACTCTTGTGTCTGATGAAGAGTTCTAAGAAATTTTGAAAGCTTGCAATTATTAACTTTCATTGGCCTAATAAAGACACTAAACCTGTTTTTTCCTTCCTTCCGTTGAGGTTTGCCTACATTGCCATTTAACTGTTTTGGCTGTGGGTATAGATAATACCTATGAT